TATCAAATCTATGCTCATGTAGTTCAACCTCTGGAACCATGGTAAACTTCATCAACTAGGTGAGTTTTAGTCATCCCTTTCCTACCTCATAGGATACTTTATCACTATGACTCTTCTCTACAAAAATAATATCCTTTAAATACTATATAGGATAATGACGTATCATAATTTTCTTAATACTAAACAAATCTATCTCTATATAGAGTAAAGCGATTATATAATAACAAGCAACAATAATAACTAAAAAAATAATTAAAAAAAGAAAAAAAAATATAACATATCTTTTTTCTTTCGAGGATCATGAAGATTTACCTCCCTCTAAATATTATCATATTTTAACTTTGAGCATAAAAAAAGTCATCGCAAAAGTCGTAAAAGCTTTTTATATTTTTCGGAATACCATTGAGATCTTTTAGTAGATCCATCCTAAGGATGAGACTCGACCATTGAGACTTGACTATTCGTTATTCTCACTCGGACGGACATTATAAATGTGATACCCATTATCATCAATGGTTTTTACTTATAGGAACATTTAGATTTTGATGATAATGTTGATTAATTTAGTTGATGAATATACATATGCTATATATTATTATTATTATTATTATTATTATTATTATTATTATTATTATTATTATTATTATTATTATTATTATTATTATTTAAAAAAATACTTTAGATGACCCTTGCAATCTCAAACATTTCTCTCTTTAAATGGTCCATCTTCTTCAACCCTAAATCTCAACTCTCCTAAAACAATTGGAATTTTCACATTTTTGAAAGATCGTTTCACCCCTTGATAATTCAGATGATTCAAAGCATTTATATTTCGATCCACCCTGATGATGATGAATCTTGGGTATTGCCCTTTAATCCAAATGGGTAATAAGCCTTTGTTAAAAGTGTTGATCACTTGTGTTAAGAAAAGAGAGTCACAAAAACGAAGATGACTGACCCACCCTGATGATGAAGGCTTATGTAGAGCCTAAATGTTTCTCCCAAAATCAAAATATTTCTTTTGAAACTATCGCTCAACAGATCACCTACCTTTATCTATATCTCTAGAATACTTTTTCTCAAACGGATATTTGTCATATGTGCAAGCAATATTCTGACCCTTGTAGACATGGTAAACTTGGCATCAAGATTTCCTGGCCTCTTGAAATGCATCCTTCCAACCTTATTCCAGATTATGATCGACCAAGTATCAGTGGCCTTTCACTTTAACGTCTCTAGTTAAATCGCAACAACTCCTGCTTTCGCAACCTCCAAAACAAAAAGCTTCTTCATTATGGAGGAGGAAGGTGGTGATTTCGACCGATGACCTCCTTCGATGCAACAAGAGATGTGATGGGAACTTGTCCATCAACACTAAAGTTATGGATATATTATTAGGGATGTACAAGGTAACTTGATTGCAGCTGAATGTTCTCTATGTTTTGTCACTTGCTCCACTCAAGCCGAAGGTGTTGCCATCCTTAAGGGCTACAGAGAGCTCACATAACCTATTTTCTCTCCTTTGGGACATTTTGTTTGTGGCCAAGGAGGTTGTCGCTGTAAGTTTTTCCTGTAGCTCTCTCTCCCTTATGGTGAAGCTCACTTTCTAGTATCTTGGGGCCTCACCTCACCAACAGCTACCAATGTCCTTCCTCTCTCTCTCTCTCTCTCTCTCTCTCTTATCAAGGCAAAGTACAAAGACTTGAAATCTCGTTCAAACCAAGCAGATGATTATTAACTAATGAGAATGGATGCTCAACATGATGCGTGATGTATGATGCATAATGCAAAAATGAGATTCTCTTATCATCTAAGAGCCTATTGTTTATCATTGTCAAGTCGATAGAAAGTTTTAAATGAGCAGCTACACGCAAATCAGCTGCATTTTCCTTAATTTGAATTGATGCACAAAATCAAGCTCAAAATAGGTCTTTGGCCATCTCTCCACACACAGTCTCAAACTAGTCCTCGACGTAATATTAATAGCCAAAGCAAAATTTATGCTCTGCAAATAAATGGACGAAGAAGGTAACCATGGAGGAAGAAGTAATTAAGTGTTAACTAGGCACTACTAGTATCTAGAGACAGATCCGCTAGAAACTCTTGTCAACTAGTTTAAATCTTATATGCTCAGATTTCAACTCCTATCTCGTCATTTTACAATCCAAAAGGGTTTAAATTATGTCTATAAAAATATTTTATTCCCATAAATAGTACCCAAATCTAAAATAGTAAATTAAAATAAAAATAAATAAATCAAGAAACCCACGTTAGATAATTCTCTACCTATATTCAGGATAAATAAATAAATAAATTCTTCAACATGTGATATCATTTATATGACCCTTAAAATCCCCACTCAAGTAAACTACCTCTTACATAAAACATAAAGAATTTATATATTTTCTCTCACTCTCTTTAGAAATTCTAATGAGCACCCTCTCTAGACACTCTAGAAAAAAATCCAAGAGCATGCAAAATCTCTCTCACATCTGACGACTCATCCCCATCAAAACCTAAAAATAAATGAGATATTTATATGAGAACTAAACTCTAATTTCTAAAGTTTTCTTCGAGAATTCATTCTCAATCTAGGATATCTTATTCTCCTATGATAATAGTAGCTTCATAAATCTCAGAATACTTATCAATCTTAATATTTCAATCCTTCAATTGCCTTATATGGGTTATAAAGAGTTTTGGGTGAACGGATGGACACTAGTTATACTTATTTTGAATATGGTATATCTTTTAATAGTATTTAAAAACAAGGTAGCTCCTTTCGATGTTTGAGTGTCAAGCTATTTTCAATTGAATTTTTCAAAAGCTTTCAACATTACTTTAGAAATCATTTCGTATAGTTTTATGTGTTTTATGATGTAAAATGACCTGTTACATTATTTTCTTGATATTTTGGAAAGTGTGTTAATCTTAAGATTTTTCATTAAAAAAGTATGCATATCATATATTTTATTCCCATGTAAAATGACCTGTTACATTATTTTATTCCCATAAGAACTCTTTAATCATAGATTTTTCATTAAGAACTCTTCAATTACCTTATATAGAGGTTTTGGTAATGAACTCGTATATATGCCCTAATTATAATGATTTTGAATGAACTTATATTGTTTTTTAGTAATTTTAAAAAATAACGTATCTCTATTTAAAAATAATATAATTTGGTGAAATAAAATTTTATTTTATTTTATTCTTTTAAATACCTTTCGGGTTGCTGTTAATCTTATTTTCAATATAAGATGCCCAATTACACTACTTTTTGATAATTTTGAGATTTTTTATCCAAAAACATGTAATATTTTCTATTCTTCGAAAACCATTCCATTATCTTATATGGTGGTCTGGAAAGTTTTTGAATAGAAAAGTTATATATGGATCGAGTAAAACTAATTTTGAATAAGGTTATATTGTGTTTATAGTGTACAGAAATAACTTAATTTTCAAACCTCCATGTAAGGTAATGAAAGGGTTTTTCTAAGGAATAAAAATAATATAATATGCATTTAATAACACATCCCAAAATTAAAAGATTTTCGATTTAAAAGAACAAAAAATTGAACTGTATCAAAACCATTGAGTTCTTCTCAATACCTTCCATATCCCTTTTTATTTTTATTTTTCGTATTTTTTAATTTTAATGATGTAAAATGCAAGGCTACACTGATTTTTGATAATTTTATGATGCATTAAATCTGATATTTTTATAAAAATATATGCATAATATAATCCATTTATTCTTTAAAAAAAGCACTTCCTATATGAAGATTTGAAAAGTTTTTGGCTAAAAAATATATGCAGATCTGAGTTATGCTATTCTTTTAAGAGTATTTATGAACAGTATTACCCTCTCGAAAAAATAGTATAATCACATCAAATAAAGTAATATTCAATTGAATTCCTTTGAAGACCTTGCACATTGCTTTTGATATGATTTTGGAATATTTTATGAAGTATATTATTATTATTATTATTTTTAATTCATTGAAGAACCCTTCCATTATCTAATATGGAGGCTTGGAAAGTTTCAGTGAAAAAAATCATATATAGACTCCAATTACACTAGTTCTGAATGAATGTGATTATACTATTTTTTTTAAAGTTGTACTAAAGCAAAAACAGTGATATCCCAACTTCATATATTGACTCCGATTTGATTTTCTTCTAAAATGATGAAAAATCATGACAAAAATATATTTTCACATGATAAGAAAAGCTTTCTTATTCTTTCAAAATTAACGATAATTTTGTATTTGATAGACAACTCCGTGGTGTAATATAGTAGACATTATAACACACAAAAAGCACATAAACAAATCATTTTGGTGCTCAAGTTTGAGGAAAGCATATCTACGATTATGCCCGCCAGGGGCTTTGAATTCTAGAACATTTAACTGGACATACCACCGTGCATTAATCATACCATTTCTTTCCGTAAAAGATGAAGATAGCATACGGTGTGTCCTGGAAGCGTACAATCAATGAGCTTTGAAGACGGCATGAACCGACAAAAGAGAGTGCATTCTTCAAAGGTCTTATCTCCTTGAGATGCTTGCGGGGGTTTGTTGGTGGTGGTAAGCGGAATATCTTTGTACGTCCTTGCAGAGTACGGTTAAGCAGCCAGGCTTGTTGACGAAGGGCATGGATGGGGAAACAAGAAATAGTGCGTTACGTTTTCTAAAGAAGTCGGCATGTAATTGAATTCGAAGGAGGGTTCATTGGTGGGAAGTGGAAGCGACACTGTGTCCTTGGGAAGTACGGTGGATGAGCCAAGATCGAGACAGGCATGGTGGGGCGACAGCACATAGTGCGGTTCTTGGTAAAATCTTATCTTGGTGAGGTGGCTTCGGCTCATTAGACCAAAGTGGAAGGATGCCGATCCTATCCGCTACGACTGACTTTTAAGAAATGCTATGATGACGCGGTACGACTTCAAGGAAAAGATATGGGTGGTGGATAGGGATAGCAACAGAAACCAAATCTCTCTCTCCCCACAGAATAGATAACCTTAGTTTGGTTTTCTCTGTTGAAAACTCCATTTGCTTTGAGGAACACGTGTCCTCGCGGTACACACAAACCAGGCAAACAACAACAACAACAACAACAACAAATCCAAATCTTCGATATTTTACGAATATTTCTTTTAAGCATCATCCCATCTTAAAATTGAAAGGCTCCGAAGGTGCCGGCCCTTGAATCTTTTATTGGCGCGAACAATACATACAATGCAGATGGGACATTTCAGGTGGCTTGGAGAACATCATAGAATTGGGAAGGCCTCTTCCTATGACCTAGATAGAGTTCCTGAAAGCATAGCGAAACATGTTAGATTAACAGGTTGCCACGACCTATGACCATTGAATATAACAAGTAAATAAGATTCCTGTTCGTCACAGGAGAATCGTGCTGTGAAAAGCGTTATATGGACTTGCATGATTGTGCTTCCACATCATTCCTGGACATCGATTGTCAGGTTACTTACTACCTTAAGTCGATTGGCTTTTACAGATTTGACACTTAACAAACAAGCAGTAAGTATATAAAATAATATCCAGGAGGGCTCACGGAAAAGGTACGCCACAGCAAATTCTGAGTTCACACCGAGCGAGTCTCATAAATGAAGCTGGGGTTGCATTGGTGGCAATAATCACGTCACCACAATGGTGGGTTAACCTTTTTAACAATCCATTCTCACCGCAAAATGGTTGTGATCCTTCTCAAATGCTTCTGGCACTGAGAACTGCATAGCACTTCATCGATTGGGAATTTCCTTTTTGTTTCTTTCCTTGGGACTCCTGAGACACACAATCATGCTAGAGTGCCAAAAGGCTCCGAGCAATTCCACCACTCCCCTTATTTGTTTTTTTTGTCAGGGAGGCAATTTTCATGAATTGTGGAACATTTTAAAACAGAACCCCCTAAGAAAACTGAAGTAAATGTGTATAAACTCGAAATCTGTTAGAACATTATTATGTAACATATAAGAAGTGTCCCAGATGTCTAAGGTATCTTCATCCACTTTGGAATACAAGAAAAATTTGCCAACTCTGATGTAATTTAATAGTTAAAAATTGGAAGAAATAAATGCAAATTTCTATGGCAGGTAATTCGAAGAGATCTGCATCCATGGCTATAAAGCTGAATAGACTTGGATATATTTGACCATCTTTGGTTTCTACTTCCATTGAAGATGATCACTGCTCTCAAGGAAGCTTCTGAGACTCGAATACTTTTCATTTTACTTTGCAGCAACCAATAGTCCTAGCTAGATCAATCTTATATGAGTGCACATGATGTGATTCTTTTTATTCTCTCTTATTTTCCTTTACGTTTTAATGGTTGCAGAAAGAAATTCTTTATCATTCACTTAATTTTAGAAAACTTACAGAAGTTATAGAGTACAGTTGCACAAATGGAGACTCAATCATACAAAATCAACAAACTAATCTCCACAAAATCAGGAAACTGATCTTCTCAAAATTAGGAAACTATCTCCTCAAATTTAAGCAAGTGATTTCCACAATAGGGAAACTATGAAAAATCCTAAATAATCCTTGTAAATTAGGATTAGATTTACAAGAAAGTAAACAAAATAGGAAGATGGTTAATAAATATTTTCAGTTCCCAGCTTGCCAATAATATCTTGAAAAGAATGACTCAGAAGACTTCTAGTTAGGATATCAGTTACTTGTCTACTTGTTGATATAAGGGAAAATATAGATTAATCCACTATCTAGCTTTTCTTTTATAAAATATTGATTCACTTCAACGTGCTTTATCTGATCATGTTGAAATTATAGGCAATACTGATTATTTTCTTATTATCACAATATAGTTTCATATTTCCTTCCCATTTAACTCCAACTCAAGAACAATTACTTTTTTCAATCATAATAGCTCATGAATATCATGGCTCTAAATTGTATCTTTGCATTATCGAGTAACTACTAGTTGCTTCTTACCCTTCCATGTCATCAACCCAGCCCAATTTATATTGCCTACACCCAACTGCACATTTTTTCTGAATAGAATACCTCTGCTCAGAATGGACTTTAGATATCATAGAATACTGTGAACTGCTTGTAGAAGAAATTTTTAGCAGAATGCATGAACTAACTTACCATACTTCATGAGTGATATCAAACCTTATGCGAAACAAATAATTGACATCTCCCTTGGTCTACAATCGTGTCTTCCATACCATCATCCAACTTGTGATTTTGTTCAATAAGTGTTTCCAGTTGGTTTGCACTTTGCATCCAGACACTCCTATTTCCTTTAGAAGACCAATGATATATTTTTTCTTGCTGATAAAAATTCATTTCCATGAGTGAGCTGTCACAATACCCAAGAAATACTTGAGCTTATCCAAATCTTAGATCACAAACTCTTTGCCAGTATATCTCGGAGTCTCCATTTCTTCAAGGTAATTGCCAATAGTAATTATATCAACATATACAATTAAAAAATAAAATTTTACCAACTGGTCACCCTTTGAAAAAAAGACTCTGATAATTACATCGACATGCAATTAAGGATGAAATTTTACCAATTGGTCACCCTTTGATAAAAAGTCTATGATCACTTCAGCTCTATTGAAATTTCATCTCTCTCATTGATTTTGCAGATCTACCAAACCATTTCTCCAAGAGATTGTTCTGACTCATACAATGTCATCTTTACTCTACAGACGCTATTATATTTAAATCCTTCATCAAGTCCTAAAGGTGCTTCCATATGAACTTCTTCCTCAAGATTACCATGCAAAAACACAATTTTAATATCAAATTACTATAGAGATCAACCAAATTATCTATTAAAATATAGTAATACATGTATCATATTCTAATTTTGTATAACTTAAGTGAAAGGTTTCTTGGTAGTCTATCCCCATATGTTTGAGTATAGCCTTTGGTTACAAACCGAATCTCATATAATTTCACCTTTCCGGAGTACCAACAACCCTTATATTTTATAGTGAATACCCACTTACATTCAATTAGTTTCTTTCCTTTTGGAAGTTCAATGATTTTCATTGTTTTTCTGAGGAATTCACTTCCGTCATGGCTTTTCTCCAACTCCTTTCTCTAAATACCTCATGGGCTATTTTTTGAATTTCAAATGGACATAATATTGTAAAGACAGTTCTATGTTACGAAGATAAGTTATCAATTGGTAGATTTAGGTCCTCAAATGTGAGTGATTATTTTATTTGAACATGCTCAAATCATTATTTTAGGAAAGGAGCTAGAACTAAATTTAGTACCTATTATCAAACTTGGATACTTGAACATGCTCAAGTAGTGATTGGGCCACCTTTTGCAATAAACACAGCGGCAGTGCAGAGAAGACACAATTTATCCCATCCACATTCATAGAATTAGTTGGATATAGAGCTAGATGTGTCTTAAACAGGAAGATATGGTTTAAAATGTCCAAATTCATAAACTATGCTGAAGAAGAGTTTATAGAAAAATATAGACTTTTACCAAAAGTAACATCCATAATGTAATTTCTTTGAAGTCGGATCATAACACTTGTAGTCTTCTTGTTTGAAGGAATATCTAAGGAAGAACATTTAAAGAGCTTAATAATCAAGTTTTCCATGATATTAAGATATAGCATGCATGGTTCATTGTGCTAACCTGTACCGGACGGTACAGGCAGTACATATCGGTTCAATAGGGGACTGGCACATAGACCACCTTATACCGGGGAATCCATAACAAGGGACCCCAGAGCGCTTGATACGGGATTTGTCATGATCGGAACGATCAAAATCCGATCGTTACTGACTTGTATTGATCGGCAACAGTCAGATTCGACTGATACTGATCAATGATTAGGATTTGTTGAATTCAAATGATCCATTTGACTGTTTGAACCAAATCTAAAAACCCTTTCTATTCCCTCGTTCTCTCTCTTTTCACTCTCTCTAACTCATCTACTCTCTTAATCACTTTCTCACTCACATATTCTCTTATTCTCTCATTTGCACTCTCTTGAACTTCATAAAGCTAAAATTTGTAGATTAGATCAAGCTTGAGAGGCTAATTAGGGAAGGTTAATACCTAAATTAGAGGAACTTTCTAATTAAAGGTTTTTTTTTTTCTCGATCTTTGATGATTTATAAGAATATTAAGCCTATTCTATGTTCTCAATGTCCAATATATTGTTTGAGGTCTTTATATTGTTAGAATAGTGTTAATTAGGGAATAATTAAAATCTTCAATGTTGGGATTAGTGTGTTTAATGCTGATTGTTTTTAAATTAGATACTTAATGGGTTAAGTCTTTGTATTACATGCATCTTAAGGTGATTTACTGATGGTATAACAGGTTTAATTAGGTTCTAATTAAGTTTTTTTAATACTGTAATTAATGATTTTAATGATGATTTAATCAAAATTTGATCGATATTAAGATAATTGAATATCTTTATACCTATTAGGGTGTTTGACATGTTTATAGTAGTGAAAGAGGACAAATTAGGGTTTAATTAACTATGTTACTGCTGTAATTAGTGTATTTTTTAGTATATTTGATCAAAATTTGATCCATATTTGGTCAATTAAATATTGATTATGAACCAAATTTGACATTAATTATTTGTTATGATAATAAAGTCCTATTTATATCTTTTTCCAATCAAGTGATGGTTACAATTTAGAGGGGACACACCAAATTTAAAGAAAGTTGATGCCCATGAACTTTCACAAATGACGACATCGAGTGGTTACGAATGTAACTAGTTAATGTTCGCATTAATTCGCATGAAGGCCCGCAACAGCTATCGCATAGGCGGTTGGAGAAACTGGTTTATATGTTCACTATAATATACGGCTAAGGTTGTGGTGTGCCAAGTTGGACAAGGCGCCAAAGGAACTAGAGACTGATACCATTGACCTCCAATACTACAATGAAGATTCACAATTGATGTTAGAGCAAGGATTTGAATTTCGAATAATACTGCCTGTACCGAGCGGTACGTACCGGTCCGTCAGTAGACCAGTACACGGACTGCCCTGTCATGAACGGTCGTTGCGCACCCGCAACAACTTCATTCAACGAATCATCCATCGCTTTTGCATGCTTCTACAGAGATATGGCAACATGTTTTGTCTTGGTTTTGTGTGTTTTTTGCTTAAAAAATATAAGCAACGATAGTTCGAAGCGCTGCAGTACGACTGCTCGCCGCGCCGGGCCTAATTGCCCCAAAATAACTCCGTTTTCACGTGCCACAGCTTGTTTTCTGCACGCCGCAGCTGCACGTGAAATTTCAGCCATCTCAGCACCCTGGAACCC